GGACACAGTAGGTCACTGCATCCTGCGCTAAACACACAAAAAAAACAAAACAAAAACACCCCAGAACATGCAACACATATCTAGAACATTTAATATGGAAAGCTGTTGGTCAGTAACTCAAACTCGGAGATTTGAACTTAAACAAGTGCTGTTTTGCAACACAACACTGGTAATATTTTAAATCCAGAAAAAAAATGCTACACAATTTGATTTCAAGAACATGAACAAAACAATAGCTGTATCAATACAGAAAACAATTTAATTTGTTTCAAAATAAATATTTGACATACAAAGCACATACAGTGAAAAAGGGTCACAATAAATTACAAATGGAGATACTCGCTCGTTCACTGAGAAAAGCCCCTGATATTTCCAATTTCATACCATCAAATTTATCATTCTTGCTGATTTAAGCACAGCACTAAACAAATATGGATCCCAGTGCTTTCTTTCACAGGTACTGGCATGGATAATTTACTGCAGTGATCCAATTTGAAAATCAGTAGGGACCAGTAAATCGCTGCATAAAAGAAAGAGCGAATGAGGTGCTTTTTCCTTAGTGTCAGCAGCCTGTGATTATTATGTTTATTAGATTTTCTTGAAAGGGCTTCACATTTTCTCAAATATGCAGGAGAACTATATTTCCCCTCTGAGCCCTTACATTAGCATTTTGTGCCTCAGTCCTTGAATACAAGTAAAAGATGAATTTTTTCAATTCATTTTAGAAGTTTGTACCATCTGGATGGCACGGAACTAAGCAATGAAACTCCCCTACCTGCACAGTACCTGCTATTATCACAGAGCTAGCTTCTGCAGAGAAGCTAATGAGTAATGCTGACATTTTATGAAAAAGATATTTTTGAATCCACATTTAAGATTAAATTCAATTACATTATGCATACTGATAACACATCTTTGAAATAAAGGATTGCTTGAGGTTCTATCCTTAAAAGACAATTTAAAACAGCAAGGCCTGACTCTTCCCATGATTTTAAGAAACTTATAGCACATTAAAAGTTACACTAACCAATTTCAGTATAGCTTAACCACAAATACTTGCATTGCAGCAATTAAAAGTTACAATTACAACTGATCAGCACACCCCATAACATCTAGCATATAAGTGCTCGCGATCTTATTCTGTTGCATTACTTTTCCTCACCAGAAAGATGAAGATACCAGGGGCCATGCCTAGCTCTTGCACATGGGAATCAATTTTTGGCATCGCTTTAAAAGAACATGCTGTTCTAGCTCAATGGCCTTTGCTACCCTTAATCTGAGCACCATAAAGTACAGTATTTTTTAAACCATTTAAGCAGCAGTTAGTATCATTTTGGAAACAGGACCAAGAAGTCATATGTGGTGTAGAAACAAATCACAGTTCCCCCTGGACTCTCGCCCAGCTCTTTTTTTCTAGTTGCTGCTCTGCCAGAGCTCTTACATGGCCTCAGGCTCCATGCCTCAGTTCCTGCCTGTAAAATGGGCAAGAACTGTACTTCCTTAGTTACAAGGGATCTGTACAGCGAGTGTTGCAATACAGGTGCCTAACAATAAAAAGGTCCAACACAGACTGTACAAAATAACCAGCTATGTTATTTGTTTGGACAGTACTATCACATATATAGTAAGGAGCTCAAAAACTGCTGGAACAAATAGTGGCTCATAATGTATCAAAAAAAAAATCCTCAAAATGTTTAACTTAAAATATTAACAAATATCACTCCCCTTGAACTTCCATCAAAGGAGGGAGCAAAACATAAAACTGACAGCACAAAAATGACAATAAAAGTATAAAATTAAAGACAATAAAGGAAAGGATGGATGCATTAGTGAATTACTTTGTGTGTAAGAAATCCCAACTGGCATTAGCTACTCCAACAGACCTACTGGGTCCTGATGCTTTATTTATCTGCAGGTGAGAACAGACAAGTCTTATGCTGGAGCATCACTTCTACAGCAAGCTTGTGCACAGCAAGGGGTAGGTCTACCCACAGAATTCGTGCAACAGCACGTAACTTACAAAAGCTAAGATGATAAAAACAATGACCAGTGTGATTTATACCAGTGGAAACAATTACCACATTGGGTAGACGACCTTTCAGTAGGACAAAAATTCCTCTGCTTCACAGTTGGGGTTGGCAGGCATTTTATGGTCAGTTGCAAGATTTCTCTGCTGCCACAGACTTCTGTTATAGCCTCTGCATCACGGCTAGCTGTTGACAGCACAGCAGCATGAACATACAGTTCTTTTCACCAGAAAGCTATCAGGACACAACCAGCATTTCATGTGTTTAATTTAATCGTTAGTATAGAAACAGTCACAAACTGTGGTAAGGTAGCAGGCACAAGGACGGAATGTTTTTGCCAGCATTGAGTAAACTGGGTATTATCACTTAGGCAGCCTAAAGGCTACAGTAAAAATCAAAGTTGATGCAGAGTGCAGGTCAGTTGCCCTATTTATTTTGCTTGGAAGTTATTCTTACCCCATTGTTCCATGTTTTCTTGGCACATCAGAGAGGTAAGTTTTACCAGGCCACAAGTAAAGTAAAACCCAGGCTTCATTTGTCAAGCTCCTTGCAAAGCCAAGAATACACTACTAGCCAAATCAAATCAAATCCCATTTATGAAAGATCTTCCTCCTCTTGATCCATTTTTAAGACTTAATAGAAAGACCTAACAAGAAATTCAGTATCCACATATAAGCTCTACTTTGTGTCACTGTCTTCCAACTCTCTACTTACTGAAATCTCATTCACTTATTCCTTTTAATCTTCCCCATCCATTCATAGAATTGGATCTCAAGACTTAGCATCCTTCAGTTACAATACATCAGATCCAATTTAGACTCTTCTCTAATTCAATGACAGCATACAATTAAAGGAACAGTAGACTGCACCCATAACAGCAGTCTTAGACCACAAAAATTTGCTCAGAACTAACATGTTATTTTGCTTACACTAGTTACAAAAGTATTTATTTGCCTTCCACTCCCAGTATGGGGGACCAACTTACATGACCAAATTAATTTTTAAATCACAGTGGTGCAAAGAGCTGAACAGAGTCTGATGTCACCACTTGAAAAATATACCATGTAACATGAAAGAGGGTCTAGAACAGTGCTGAAGAATTGAAATGGTGAGAAGTAGGTCTAGATTTCTGCTCTGATTAGATATCATTGTTGCAGTGCTTATTCTTGGGTTAAATTTTGAAGGAAAGGGTCGTAAGTTTTTGCACTTTAAGGCAAAAATTCCCTATAAAATAATTTAGAAATGCACAAGACATTATGTCCCAATTCAGAAGCAGCAGTGGGAATATAAGAACATGCACACATACACACAGGACAGCATTCTGCTCAACTTCCAGGTTCAAGCATCAGTATGTTCTGTTAGAGAGAAAATAAGCTTGAAGAGCCTAGCAAATTACATTTAACACTTCTTTTATTGCAGTAGAAATTTTCGTTTTTATAAAATTCTCAAATTACAGGATATACATATAGTGAATCTTGTTGCAAGTCTTTAACAGCTGTAGAGCATTACTGCATGCAGTTGCTTCTGCAGTGTGCAAGTGTTCTATAAATAGCTAATCACGTTCAGAGAGCAAGACAAGTAGTCAAAGAATATCATATTCAATTACCAATTGGTTCATCGGTACCAAGAGGTTGAGCAAAAAATGAAGTAAGTGTATAAATACATGACTCTGATCTAACAAACTAATACAACTGGAAAGTTTGAATGATATCCACATCACAAACCAGATAACTCAATAGTTACAGGAACATACTTTGCTTCAAGACCGTTTTCAAAAGTGTTTCACATAAGATTTCTCTGACCAAGGAAAAATAGTTAAGTACAGTGCTATAGAAGTTTACAAAACGCCAATGAAAACCCTTTAGTTTTATGCAATTAGAATATTAACTACAGAAGATTAGGCAAATACTTGCCTTGAATTTATGGAAAGAAGTTGTGTTCAGACAGATAGTGTTTTTCCACGACCTACCTTTCAGCTGCTGGGTGAATGCATAATGAGCACTCAATTTAATATTCACTTCTGTAATCATGACACTGGCTTCAGGTCAGATGGATTCATGCCAAAAAATCCTACACTCATTTGTTTCAGAAGATGCCTAAACAGGTGCAATCCTTTATGCAAATTTCCCATCACAACGAGAGTCTCAGAAACTGGAAGAACAATTTATATAGAGCTAGCTACAGATTAATTTTCTAAAAAGCTGACATGCTTGAATTACTGCAGTCTCACATTTGTGTGGACACAAGAACAAATCTGCAACGATTCTGCAAGAGTTACTTCATTTACATTGATTAGTTCACTTAAGAGATGGTTAAAAGTTTAAGCATCGCATCTTTGTCTGAAAAGCCTACAGGTCAGCAATTTGGCTTGGTAAAACATCTTCTTGTGACAAGATAACTGCACAGTTTTCTGTGATCAGAGTCCTGAAATTTCTTCAACAACGTAATGTAAGACTATGTCACAAGGTAGAAACTTGGAAGAGTTCTTTTTAAGTAATATTAATAAAAATAGCCTCTCCTTCAGAAAAGGTGTTAACTATGCCAGCTTGATACTTTAATCCTTTTTGTTAAATTCAAAGCGGGCCATATTTTTACATTGAGTATAGTAATTTAGACAAAACGGTTCTACAGATACATTTAGTAAGCAGAAGAATACTGCCCAAAGTGTACTGCATAGGTATGTGTACCAACTGCTCTATCCACTGGAGACATCCTACAGTAGCTATAGTACCAACTAACATAAACCTACTGAGCACAGATTTCTTGAAGTTTTAATCGACCTCAAACAATCCTTGATTCCTGAAAAAACAATTCTGTCTGACTGGGCATGTTTTAGACAGGATGCAGCTACTTTTTTTTCCACCAATTAGCAATACAGCACAGTAATTTTAAGTTTCCATGACTTGCTTTTGATATGCTAAATTTCGTATTATCTCCAAGAAAAGCATATACACATTTTTATACAGCCTGGAGTGAGATCAGTGTAAAACCAGGAATTTATAATCATCAGCAGAAGTGTCAGCTGCTCATAATGTTCACAAAACACAAGTGCCTGAAATTTGGCTATGCAACAGTTGGTGCCAATCTGCTTATAAAGGAAATGCTGCTGAGGCATAGTCTTCTTACAAAAACAGGGCATGAGGGCTTCATTATTAAGTGTTCAACAACAATCCTCAGCTCAGTGAAGAGAGTCCTGAAAGATCAGATTTAAAGAGAGTATTAAAATCCTACAGCATTTATCAGAAGTGTCATCTAAATCTATCTTTTTCATTCACTTCTTTTCTCAACACCCCACACACACTCTGGTTAGCAAGTTCTTTAGATCAACTCAGTGTTGCAGTATCTTGCAAGAGCATCAGAATTCTTGTCCTTTAAACATTAACATCTTAATTAACTTTAGTTCAGCAACTTGCAGCTGAGGACAGATATAATGACAGCAGAAAAATTCCACCTTCAAGCAAAAAAAAAATTCCCACTATAAAAAAAAAGAAAGAGTAATGCTTTATCAGAAAAAGTGTAAGGAGTTGGGAGATAATTGTGTGTTTGCACTTCTGGCAAGAAGAATGCAAGAATCCTGCACTCTAGAAGCAACTATTAAAAGACAGACACAAGAAATAAAACCCACAACACCAGTTTCCCTTAGAACTACATAAATGCCAGCAGAAAATCTTGGATAAACTAGTTCTATTGAAAGTTAGTTTTAGTATTGCACAACTTAAATTATTGTTAGATACCAAAGAAGTAAAGCACCTTCGTAGATATTTTTTTTTTCGTTAAAAAAACCACATGTACTAAGATGGAACAATTGATTTCTTACAAAATAGTAGGGAATAGGAGGCGATTAAGTTTATGATTCTCAGAACTGTCTCTGCATACCACGGCAGCCAAAGCCACATCCTTGGTACTTTAGCAAACCATTTTCTAATTGGATAGTGATCAGACTGGAAAGCATGTTCACAAAATGTTACACTATGCAACGCTTGTCATAAGAAAAGTTCTGAGAAAGCACTGACGTGAGCAAATCCTCATAGAAATATTTATGGTTTCAAAGTTTAAAGCAATAGTATTGGTTTTACCAACTTTCAAACAAAATCAATAAGGCTCTATTTCAATTATAATTAACCTGACTTACAAATTTAACTAAAGGAGGTAATGAACATGTTTCAAGATCATTCACAGATTTTTTTTTTCTGTCAACATTACACAAGTTCGTAAGTGCCTGTTCATGTATAGACTTAGCCTCAGATAGGCCTGGAATCTAAAAATAAGGATATCTTTCTGGTAAATGGTTGCAGAATAATTAAAAGACTTTCTTCTCCCAAAGCATAGTTTTAATTACGCAAGCATGTTCTGAAAGCTCCCACTCAAGGATGGTGGTACATTTCAGCAAAGTTCAGTTACACGAAATAAATGTAACCTTGAACCATCTGTTCTTTTTTAAGCATGCAGGTGTATTCCACATTCTATAATTGCCATTTGCAGATTTAGTATTTGAGTTACGCATTCATTTTAGAATGAAAAGTTTCTGAATGCCTAAACACTATGCAGTTAAACATTAACTTCCGAAAGAAATTTAGTGCTTACCGACAGTATGGATTTCGCCGAGAGGAGTAGCGTAATGTAAGAAACCTATAGTAAATGAACGGCTGGAGCAGACTCCCTTGCCCACTGAAAGAAAAGAGAAGTAGAGCTTAATACTGACCAAAAAAAACCCAACAGGACTTTTCCTAATAAAAGCAAAAAAACTACTTAAGCTCAAAGAAAGCTAGATTGGGGTCACATTGGTTTAAATAATCTAGATCTGACAAGAAAAAGTACGTAACCATACACTTACAAAAGCAGAAACTTACATTACAGAATAAAACTGCTCAATGAAGCAGTTAAAGAAGGGCTGTTCTTGTATTGATTTTATATTTATGAAGTTTTTTTATACGCCTCATTTCTGGTGGCGGGCAAAGAATCACAGAAGCGATGGTGGACACCTGTTCAGTTTTAAGAAAAAGTCTGCTGGTCAAGCACAGAAATTGGCTGACATAAATTGTCCAGTTACAGCAAGCTTCTTCAGCTCTAATCGTAGCACTTTGAGCATCTGGGCTGTATTTCTAGTATCTTTTGCAAAACTTCTCACAACACACTGGAGACTATTATAGAGGTATTGAGATATTAATGCCAAGCTGATATCCGACTACTTCAGTTACACTGAAATTAGGTTTTGATACTTTACAAAGCTGCTGTTTCACATGACGGTGCTGTAAAGCAGTGAAAGGGCAGCATACAAACCATACATAGCAAAGCACAGAAGTACCACAAGTTTAGTTTTAATGACTGAAGCTTCTTTATATAACACAATATTAAAAAGCTCTGTTTGAAGATGAACATGACAGTTCCAGTAAGTAGAGCTCCTTCAAGTATGAGCAATATCTTTACCCAGAAGGAAAAATATAAAGTGAAAAGGAAAGTGAGCTACAGGAGGGGGAAGAAGAAATCTTGCACCTGTACAGTATTCACAAGCAATATGCAATATGCTAGAACAGTTTAAAGAACAAATTCTCACAATAGCTGCATTTAACCATTATACTATTTAAAATATTTGATCTTTTACAAGCATCAGTATCTACTAGATGACTTATCAAGTAGCAACACTTCACGTACTAACTTCTCCGGGGGGCAGGGGGGGAGTTCTCCTAAAGAGAAGTTTAAAGCACTTGAACGTTTCAGATACTGACTACAGAGTGTATCTGTCGGTTGGTAAGTGGCCTTAAATGCAATTGAATCCTTCAGGGCTGAAGCATTGAAGTGTTCAGCTGACATATCAAAAGATAAAGACAAATTATGCATTCTATCAACTTCCAAGAAGATAAAGCCTCCCTTCTGCTGCCTGTGAGACCACTCGGGACAAATGCTCTCACTGTGCTATGACTTGTATAGAACAAAGGGCGTTATTCCCCCTTCAAATATTAAAAGGCAATGACCCAAACTTCAGTGACTGGCAGGTCGTTATGCCTATATGACTTCAGTAGGATTCCAACATGCATATGCTCAAGATTCCCAAAATTAATTCAACAGGCTGCACAGCAGGCAAAACCAAATGGAATCATAAAAAAAAGAGACATGGGTCACTGGTCAGAAGTAACACAGGAGAGGACGTAACCTACTCCTGCTTGCACACTTTCAGCACAATGAAATTTCATGCCACTTAAATTTCTGGAATCTAACAGTCAAAAATAAGAGTTCGCTTTCAGTGAAGCTGAAGATCTTAATATTCTATTACACTGACCAAATAAAACCTTACTGAACAATGTAGGAGAAAGCAAGTTACAGGCCTGAAAAGCTTTGATTTGACCCAACAATGTCACCCGTACTATGAAAGGGAAGGGTTTTTTGGTGCACAGTTATACGAGAGTGAATGGGTTTTGACTTCATGATGCATCAACTTAAGTAGTCTAGGAATCAAATAAATTTAACTCTAAGTTCAAGTCTTGGTTAGCCAGAATCATACAAATGGAGGTCTGTGACCCACAGAGAACTCAACTGCAAAAAGTAATCTTGTGTAGAAAGTTTCTAATTCTGAAAGTATTTATGGTAATTCTTACCTGAAGAGCATAAAAACTGTAGCTGGCATCAGGAAAATTTCATTGCAAGCAATGAATTTTAGAATATTCTGTTGATTAGCGTTCAGTTTCTCTAAAAGATTTCTCAGAAAGGGCAGACTATTTGAACCTCGTGCCTTTAAATAAGAAAAAAAGATTGCCAGAAAACACACAAGTTACACCTATCTTCTCTAGCACAAAGAAATCAAAATACTAACAGTTATCATTTACAACTCATTTCAGCATTTTAAGAATAGATCCTTTAAAGGTATTGAGATTAGTATCCCAAAGAAAACTAGTGGAAGCTTGGAACTCCATACAGTTCAATTAAAAACATGAGGTGTTGCAATTCCCTCACCTGGCCACGAGCCTTATCCTGTCCCCTAGGAGGAAGTACTTATGGTAGCAAGATAGTCTAGTTAGGAACACCAAAGGTTGGAGTTACATCAAGCTGCACAAGGCAGTTCATTGAGCAGCAGGTCCAACTCGCAAGTATTTTGCTTCCTAGCCTCACCCTGCAGTTTGTTATTTTACTACTGAAATAGAACATTAAATTTCACAGGCTATGGTTTAGCTTGAAAAGACATGTCGTAAGTTTCAACTTAACGTACACAGCACTTGCTTCCTTTAAAGAACAGCATTTGAAGAAAAATAATTAGTGTCAACTCCAACATATCATTAAGTCATAACAGAAGATAAGCTTCTCTCGGATTCTCTGTGCTGAGATTCCATATTACAATTTCACTCTAACTCCTCCAGTGTAGCTAAAGGAAACTATAGCTGCAACTCAAACCTGTTTATAAACCCCAAGAATACCAACAGCATTAATCGTATCATAACATCATATCATACTTACATCAAGAACCTTCTTTGTATACGTGGCAGCATGAAGCAAAGAGAACAGCAGAACTGGAAAAATACTCACTGAAGCAAGCGATAAGGAAAATTATAGGCTGCAGAAGTGCTTCATTTCTCCATGATGTTATGCTAACACACAAGTCACAGCCTGATGGCTCTTTGCAAGAGATTGACGGGAATGACCTACACTGGATTAAGACATGTATATGTCTAACAACTATATTTATAGCTCTTCCCTTTGTTTCTTACACCTTCTCTTCGCTATGCATTTTTATTAACTTCAAAACGTGTGCAGGTACAGCATACACCATTA